TCCGTTCCGATACTTTGACTTATAAGCTAAGAGATAGTGATGGTACGCTTGCTATCCCACAGCCCCACACTAATTACTGTAAAAGAAGTCTTTCTTACAACGGAGTTGTACTATGGAATAGTCTGCCCTTGAATATTAGACAATCGCTCTCCCTTAATCAATTTAAATCTAAGTTGAAGAACTATGATTTTGACAGTGGTCTTATATAAATTTTATTTTGTTTTTATACACGGGTTCCTTGTACACGGGTTCCTAGTAGTTATTTACAATATTAAATTGGTTAGGTAGTTAGCAACGACATCAACAACAAAACAAGTACTGTAAGCCTCCTCAACATTACTGTCAGTACTACTGGATGTTATTATTGAAGGAGTGGTTATTTCTCAAAAGGATGCAGATGAATTCAAAAGTACAGTAAAAGATAACATCACAGAGTGGATGAGAAAGTTACGTGATAGGAACATAGTCGACTGGATGATTATTCAAGTCATATCACAGGACTCATTGAAGGGAAATAAGCCAAAAATACAGCTTCCTCGCAGCACGGTATTCGATAAGATCAAGAGTGACTTTGGTGGCAAAAATAGTGATAGGTAACTTTTTATTCTCATTTTATTTTGTGTATTTGTGTAATTTGATTTATATATTTTTTACATTTATGTTGCTTGCATGGATGGAAACAAAAAAATTGGAACTTTGATATTTTCAAATTTTATAGTAGTTTAATCACATGGTTACTTGTTTATTCAAGTTGATACAAAAAGTAGTCTGTTGATGCAGTGATTCATACATTTTGATTGTAAGGCTCAGTTCAGGCACTGAATTTTTCTTGAGCTGTTCCTTTGATCAGACTTAGACTTGATCCAATACTTTGCTTTTTAATATATTAGTGTGTCTTGTATCATACAGTATCTTAGTTTTTTATATTTATTGCATATTTGAGAATCTTTCTATATTTTTAATTTTTAAATCGTCATCTTTTTATTCTGTAAATATTTATATGAGAGCCACTGGTTTTTCAGTGATTACTTTTCTGTGTTACTGTAGCCTCAAAAAATTAAGATTGTTTTTGGAAGTTTGAGAAAGGGTCAACAGGGAAAGGGAAGAAAGGAAATCAATTTAAGGGTACACTTGCTTAGTGGTAAATTGAGTGAAGGTCAAAATTTAACTGCAGTCTAGTAAAGCAAGTTATGTACGAGCAATATATAATGTACATTTGTACTAGATCTATTGATACATGTAACATTACCAATTAAATAAATTTAGTAAAATGACAAATAGTACCATTAAGATATTATATCTATTCTAGGATAATTCAGTTATGGGAACCCTTCAAAGAAAGTCAAATAACTCGATCTCTGGAATCATGGCAGAACTTGGTCACTAAACTGCGGCAGTGGTTGCTGGTGTCCTTTAATCGTCACTTGGGAAAGTTTGAAGACCAGGTCAGGTCACTGAGGGAGAAAAGAACAGAACCACGATGGAGTTTCACAACATACTTCTTGTTGCACGTAGGTTCACTTAGGTTGGAATGCAATATACATGTTTAGAAAACAGCCCTAAGAAAATATGTACGCTGATTGGTTAAAAATTGTGTTTCCATAACTCCATAGAAACACAGAACTAGCATGAGCTGTTGACATAATGATGGCGCAAGCAAAGAGAATTTGTTTTGATAATCAAAGTTAACAAGTTGTTTTCCTTTTTTCGTTGCGGTGTTTTCTAAAAGAAATAGAAAACATGTTCTCCGTGTTTCTATCGAGTGATAGAAACACTCGTGAAAGTTTGGGAGAACTCGAAAAAGCTGTGGAAACACTCGCCTGAGGCTCGTGTTCCCACAGCATTTCTTGTTCTCCCAAACTTCCACTCGTGAAGCTTTCCTAGATTATGAGCTTGAGATTTCTATTGCATAATAGTTGACTCGGGCTGCGGGGCCTCGTCAACTATCACGCATAGAAATTGACAGCGAATAATCTAATCTAATCTAGTGTAAATCTATTAGTCGTTCAGAACTTTATCTAAATCCTCTTCACAGACACTTGGAAAACGTCAAGAAGCGGCCGTCATTTTGTTAACAAGGGTACACTGCTATGCTACTCACTATCTATCACAGAATAGATAGTGAGTAGCGTAACCAATCAGAGGACGGCATTCGTGATAGAACGCTCGTAGATTTATACTAAAACTTGATGGAAACATGGTGCATGTTTTCTATTTCTTAAATGTTAGTTTGGGCTAGGGTTTAAACACCCCCTTTGTATTATTATAAGCACCCTCATTGAGTGATGTTGTCTAATAGTTGAACTAACCCTGAAGTTTTGATCCTTTCATTTTTACTTTTCAGGAAGAATTGTCATTTGTGTTTGAGATGCTTGGCTTGTTTGAAGAAGCTCTTATTCAATATGATGAAATTGATGCTCTACTCACACAACTGGTCATTAATTCTAAATTTGGAGGTGAATGTTGACAGAACAATTACAGTTAGCTGTGTACACCTCTAGCTATTGCACACTAATAAAGCAACATGTTAGATTATGAGGTCAAAGTTTCAATCTATGATTTGGCCTCATCATCTATTACATATTAGTAGAATTCAAATTGAAATTTCCTTCAAATAACTATTTTCAATTATTTTCTAAATAGTATGTAATCTAAACTTTACACTTGAGAAAATCTGATGGACTGAATTGTCATTTGAAGTCTGCACATGTAATTGTGTATGCATGCATACATCAGGTTTTCAACAATTTAAAGTTTTGTCTAAAAAAAAATCAACAAACTGTAATACAGTGTCCTTTTTTGAGTCTTATAAGGAATTTAATCCATTTGTTTCAAAATGTTCCTTTGAAAAACAAGAAAGTGTTGCCATTTTGTAGATGACCTGCAACCACTGGACTCTATTGGCTGATAGTGCACGATAGCTCAGCCAATCAAATTGCAGCTTTTGTATTAATATATGAGAAGAATGCTACTGATGGCTGTTAACGATTATTTCAATCTACTTTCCTTTTATAAATATATGCATTTTTTTAGAGTCCCTTGACTGCATCAATGTCTTCATGCAAGACTGTGTAGGCTGTGATGGAGTTTCATTAGCTAAGAGTTCTCAAGATTTTTTGAGACAGCTAATCAAGACTGAAGAAGCAAGCTATGTTGATCTGAGAAATTACTTGTTCTCCCGGCAATGCAAACTTCTTTTGAAGTTGGACCGCCGAGCTTGGGAAATTGCTCAACGAACTCTGGAATTTTTACATAATATCATTCATGAGCTGGCAATGGATAAGCTTGAGGTACGTGATCTGTGTTCTCTTTAAAGACTTTTCTTTTCTGGGAAAACAATGTATTACCTGCTGTTCAAACAGTATGGAGAGTATTAGAAAAAAGAGAGTTCTACAAGTTTGGCTTGTAAGTGAGACTGGCTTAATAGAGAACAAGTGTAAAAAATAAAGGTTTAATGGTGAGGGGCCTAAAATGAATTAAAAGTTAGAGTTGTTGTAAAAAAGAGAAGGATATGGTAATAGTAACAATATGACTTTCAATGATGCCCTTGGGTGGTGCAGGGAGGTGGGGGGTGGTCTACAAGGGCTATAAAGTAGCAAAGTACATGTACACATGTAGGTGTGAAGCATGTGTGAGGGTTTGAAACCATACTCATTGTTGTCTGTTTTGTTCATCCATGCTCAAAAGTGTGATTATTTTCTTTTCCTTTTCTCCCCTCTCCCTTGCACACCTCCTCACAATAGTCTTCAGTTATTAATGGATCTTTCCTTTAATTAAGATGTCAATGCTTACTGGTGGAACATCATGCTGTATCATCTTAACAAGCCTGGAAGTGTTGAAAGCCTGCAAGAAAGAATGCTATGAGGAAGATATGGTGTACAGTCTGCACTTTGCCCTTCTCTACCAGTATGCTCGACAAAAGGTAGTGATAGTATTCTTGACTACAGAACATATAAACTTATGTGACCTCTAATGCCAAAATATACGCTGATGGAATCCTGTTTGAAAATGGAATTTTATTTGCCAGCTGTTTTGCATTTGTTCAGAATAATGTAAAATCCATTTGAATGGCTTGGCTCATCTGCTCTGAAAATTGTCCATCCAAAATCTCCATTCCATCACCAGCCTTAAGCACTAGGGCTGTATGACAGCAATTGTTGCCCAAGATAGTCACATGACACTACTTGAGTGAGTGAAACCAGAAAAGGATGAAAATGTTTTGCAATTTTCTTGCTTGTAAACATGTACACTTTGTAATTTGTTCCTTGTAATGTGTAAATTATAGTTCCCGTCTAGTCTTTCAGCACTGTTCTGTTGAAGTCTGTGTCGTGGTCTATGTGTAGATGATCACCAGATTCATGATGGCAAACGAAAGCTGAAATGCTGACTTGCCGTGTTACATTTTGATGATGATGATGGCGATGATGATTACCATGACAATTGCAAAGCCCTGAGATATCAAAAATGGATAGTTTTAACAAGTATTCAAAAGTTGTTATAAGTTATGTTTTTACTTTGCAACTGTTTTCAGCTGGATCACTTGGGATCCCTGTGTGCCCTGATGCCTGATATGACACAAACAGAATCTGAACTACAGATTGCCAACACTCTGATATCTGGGATTGGAAAAACACAAGATGATGGTGGGCTGAACTAAGTTATTCTTCCTTTAGTGTAGCCATACTCGTGTGTCTTACAGTAAAAAAAGAGGTTACTGCTTATAGCTATTTTAAAAGAAAGTAGAGCCCTTTTATTAACAGGTCTTCTTGATGGGCTGTGGCTGTTCATCCGAATTTTTGTGGCAACAGTTCATTTCATTCCTCAACTCTGTTGTTTCACTTCCAGTCCAATTGTTGTTATTGATGGTTGTATACATCTCTCTTTATTGTTTTTTTGTTTTTGTTTTTTTTTTGTAGAGGATCTTGAGCCCGGCAGTCCATCAGAGAGACTTAAAGAAGCTCTCTCGTATAGAGATAAATTTCAATCACTGTATTTGGTGAGTCATTGTTTTAAGTATGTTGTATTTTAAAGGTGGTAGAGATAATTTTCAATTACTGTATTTGGTGAGTCATTGTTTTTAAAAAAGTATGTTGTATTTTAAGGTGATAAAGTATTCATTTCTCTCTCTGCAGGAATTGACAGACTCAGCAATTAAAATCTTCAAAAACATTGGACGAGCCAGAGCTGCCAAGTTTCTTGGTGTGGACCTAGCTCAGTTTTACTTGTGAGTATCAATTATGTGCATGTCCCTCATCTGTTAGTTAAACAATGTAATATTTTTAAGATAGACCACTTTGACGATGTCACGCTTTTTCGATTTTTTTCATTCAAACAAACTATAAACCACGCGGCCTGATTTATCGCTCCAAATTTTGTAGAAATGCGAAAGTTCATAAGAATCCGTTGCAAACGCAAGGGAATATGGGACCCCAACCTTACCGACATTTACAAAGAAATGTAAGCTATATAGGGGCAAGAAGTATAATCAGAAGTAAAACCAAAACCAACCGTGACTCGCTCGCACACGTTTTCCTGCGCTTGGCGTCAGCTACATGTACGTATTTTCTTCGAATTTTGATTGGCTCACTGGATTGTCTGTGTTCTTTGTGATTGGCCAGAGTGATTACTTGAGCTTACTTGCATTGGTTTTGGTTTTGCACGCATTTTACACGCATTTTACACGCATTTTACGCGCTTGTAGGTGCTGCAATTCCTTTGACCGGTACCGTACAACACTTAATTGAAAACCGCTTTAAGTTTAAGTTTATGGCATCCATAAACTGATGTTAATGAGACCTGAGAGACAATATCTCAAAGTCAGGCACACACATTCTGCATTGTAACACTTTATTTCAGAGACATGTGACACTATGAACCTCGTGTCATGCTCATAAGTAAATCCCAGTAACATAGGTAACATGCCACCAATTCCTGATCTCAAAGTCCACCAGGGATTCCCAGTTGAAAACAATCACCCCTTTTGGATATCACAACAAACCTTTCATTTCCTAAGTAAAGCCACTGTTATCTACATCTGTAAAAGACAGTGTATCAATGGTTCCAGTCATGTCTCTCAC